TTTTGGAAGAAAATGAAATTGCTGCAATTTTCAAGTGCATCAGAGGAACGCACTAAAAAAAAAATTGGAGAGAAAAAGAGGATTGCATCGCCCGTGATGATTCATCGACCCGAGGGGAACAGAAGCTCTCGAGAATTTCCCAGCCCTTATCAGACAGGTGTGCATTATCTTGTGAGAAAAATGCCCACCCCATCGGGCGAGGGCACGAGCACCGACTGCGAGCGAATGCGGTCGAGGCGCGAAGTGCGCTGGCGGAAGGACCGCTTCGCCGTTGGAAGTTGGAATCTGAGAGAGGAGCTCAAGGGGTCTCCGACTTCCGTGCCGGCACGAGGGTCGGTCTTCGAGTGCAGGGAATTGCCAACGACATGCGTTGAAACAGGCACACGTGGATTAGGTCCTCTGCAATCGCACGGCTCTTCTCTATTTGTGAATTCACTGCTCGAAACCGGTTCTCGCTTACTCTTTGGCGACGCCATCTTCTTCCTACGCGTCATCTGCCGATGGAAAACGTGGACCCGCAATGGGATGATGCTCGGGGGCCGGAAAGAGCCGGCAGCTCGAAGGTGCGAGGTCGGGGGAACGACGGTGACGGGGCGGAACGTCACGCAATAGTTTGCATGTCCATAGCGGTACATTCGGTGTGCGGTTTGGCATTGCCATTGCATTGCCTCCATCTCGTATTGGAGACCATCACAAGCTTCGCAGAGAACAAAAAGAATCTCTCGGGTCTTTTTCTCCCCCGGCGCTCTCATTTTATAGACTTTCTCCAATCTGACGAGGATCGTCCCATTCAACCCCCCCATAGTTAAGGCTAATGCAGGCCTGGCTAAGAAGGTTTCAATTCATCCGGACCCGTTCTTTGCATACTTGTTCCGACTGCGAAGGGTGACGCGCTTATAAAATGCCATTTGTCCTCATACCTTCGGCGTCGGCGGATGACGGACGAAGGCCAAAATACGGGTCATGCCGAGTTCGGGTTGGGACTAACTCGCCCAACGAGTGAACTCCATGCAGATCACCGCGCTAGAAAATGGGTTGCTAAATAGAAAATGGAGCGCCGAGGCGTTCGATATGTATTGCGCCATCTTCAGACTTCTCGAGGTCGGTAAATGCGGTATTTGGACGTGGGAGAAGAGAAAACAGTACCTTCGAAGAGAAAAAAAAAAAACCTTCCGTCGTCCCACTCGAGATTCATGTTGACATTGACATTTTTCTTCTCGACGCGACGGCGCTCCCACGTCGATATCGTTCCTGCGGTCTCGAGTACGAGCAGGAATTAGTGGAATGCCCGTCGACCCGGGACGACGCCACGCATCCGGAATCGCGCGTCGATCGGATTCGGACGAGAATTTGGAGAGGACCGACTGCGTTCCCGTCTCCGGGGACTTCGGCTTCTCTCGGTTCTCGGAGGCACGGATCGACGGCAGAGCCGATCAGACGTCGACGTTCGCTTCCGAGCGGGGGATCGTCCAGAGTTCCTTCGGGATCCGAAGGGGCCGGAGGTGTCGAGGCTTTCGTCTTCATAGTTCGAAGCAGGGTGAGGGGCAGGGTGAGGGGCAGGGTGAGGGGCAGGGTGAGGGGCAGGGTGAGGGGCAGGGTGAGGGACTTAGCGTGTTTAACATCGAGTGTCGAGAATAGAAGTTGTGTCGCACGAATTATTCCTGCTGACGGAAAAAACGAAGAGTCGATTGCGGGAGTTGTCTGAGAACGAACACGTCGATTCGATGTTGAGTTTCCGATGCCGAAACGCGGAGCAAAAGCCGAGTAAATGCCACATGAAGATGGAACATGCGTCGATGTGGGACCGAGTCCACTTGAAATCCGCGTGAAATTCATGCTTACTGAAGTGCGTCGCATACGTTCTACATAGTGTGAAGTCCACGCATGATCTGCTTTGATTCGATGCAGTGGACTCGTTGTTTCCACTTCTATGCTCATATGCAGACCGTGCAGCACCGGACATACGCCTAAAAAAAAATAGACAATATTAAACAATGTCGAGAACGATCACGATCCCTAATTTAGCCTAGGTCGAGATAAGCAAAGAGAAACGTTGAACCATAATTGGCTTTGACGTAACTCACGCAACGGAAAGAACGTGCAGCAAATGGGGAATGAAGAGGGACTCCCTCAGAATTTTTTCCCCTTCTGGATGGAAAAAATCCGTTTATTTTGATCGGTTCAACCGCGGAGCGACGCGAGCGAAGTCCTTCTTTCACACGGAACTGGACTTGAAGTGAAGGCTCTACGCATCTGTCGAGTCTCATATAGGATAACAATGGGTTGGACGCCTTTCAACGCCCATTTTTTTCATACCGAGTCGTTCGGTCTGGAAACGGAAATCTGAGAAGATCGGGATCGGTGGGCCACTGGGTGGGCCACTGGGTGGGCCACTGGGTGGGCCACTGGGTGGGCCACTGGGTGGGCCACTGGGTGGACCACTGGGTGGACCACTGGGTGGACCACGCCGATCACATCCTCCAGCGCCGTGGAGGAAGTCGCGAGCGTGGAGCATGCAAGTTTTTAAATCTCTCCCCCCCCCCCGAGTTCCATCTCTCGGCTTCTCTGGAAGAAGGCAGCGTTTGATTTCTTCGATCATTCGAGGCCGATGACTCCCCTAAAATGTGAATAAAACATATTTTCGTCGATAAGAATAGACCTTTAGGCTCGAGGCAAGGCACATCTATTTGATTTTATCGAGGTGGACGAATGCACGTGCACAGCCAGGGGCGACGGAAACGGGTCGAAAAATTCCCATTTAAGGCATTCCCAACTTCATTTTTCCAACTCTCCCACTTTCGGTACGAAAATAATTGAGCTTTCGGGTGCTCACGAACGGCCGATAATGGAACTTAGGTAGCTAGAAAATTGGATTACTTTTTTTCCCCCTTGTCGGTGAAGTCGCAGCTTGTCTACATCGGATGATACCGGTATCTTACGGTATCATCTGATGATGATACCGTTCCGGCAAGGACATCTCTTCGACTCGAGGGAGTCCCGGAGTGGAATCAGCCCTGCATTCTGGTGTTCGAGGTCGGCCTTTTTATTTTCCCAGTGCCATCGACGGCGAGGTCGTGTGTCCCTCACGCGGCACGGCGACTCTCGACGGAGATGAGTCGCCACCCGTGAGATCGAATCGGCGTTTGGCAACTCCCGACTTCGACGTTTCCGAAATTCAAAAATGCACTTTGGACACTCGGACGAACGGGGTCGGCGTTAGAGGTCGGCGATGTCGGCGGTGAGGGGGAGACGATAGCCTTTGCATCTTCATGGGCGATATCGAGCTTCCTCGAAGAAACTTCCGGGGGAGAAGACACCAAACCAGGGACAATCGCGAATGTTCGAACTCGGATGGGACGGGGATGAGATGGGGATGAGATGGGGATGAGATGGGGATGAAGATGGGGATGAGATGGAGATGAAGATGGGGATGAAATGGGGATGGAGAGGGTGCGGTCATGGCCCCTATCGACGATGTGCACCGCGGTTTCTTGGACATTTTTCTGCAAAGCGCAGGGAACGGCAAGTTGACTCCTTGGGAACTTCCTGGTTTAATCTGTATCTTTGTCAAAAATGTCCTCGGATGCATGCCTCAACTTCGATAAACATCTTCCCCAAGACCAGACAACTTTCGTCATCTCGTCTTCGGTGACCGATAAATTTAAACGTTCGGCTCACCTCGAGCCCACTGTGAGCTACTTTTAGGCTTCCATCTCTTCGTCGGTTCATACGATACCGGTGCCAGAACCGGCACTGAAGGTAAGCCTAACGAGAGGGAAACCTAAAAATAAACCCTCAACGTTACTTTTATATTTGACGCGCTGGGAATCGGGAAACCGAAGGGCCGCTTCCTGGCATTCAAGGCTCCATTTATTTTCGTATTGATCTCGGAAGTCCACGGTCGGAAAAGCCGTCGTCCCAGGTCCATCGCGAGTCCCCAGGATCTCCCAGGCATTCGCTTTTCTCTCCGGAATGGGCACGTCGGATGCGGTCGTGAGAGCCGCTCGGTCGTTATCGTCGCTTCCTTTTCAGATAAACGACGATGGTCCTTCATCGTAGGTCCCCTGCTGCTTCGCTTCTGATCCCTTATCGGGAGATGGGGGATACGTGCTCGCCCGATGCAGCAAGAGAATTTAAATCCACAAATCCAACGCGTGAAACATTCACGAAGTCGGGACGAATTAGATGCCGAAGACGTTAAGAAGTCGGTAAGAATCGTCAATCGAAACGTTTAAATCCGAAGGCGTCCCAGTGCCCACCGAAAGCGACGAGCCCCACCGACCGACCCAACCGAGTGGACCGATCCGCGATCGACATCACGAAAGACGAAGGGAATCAGTGCTGAAGTGTGCCCGAGCGCCAAGTCCCCTCGGCCCTCCCTCGCCCTTCCTCGCCCTTCCTCGCCGGAGGACGAGGAGTGCATGCCGCGTGCCTCCTCCTCGTGTGAGCGAGAGACTCGCTTCGGTGCAGGGGAAAAGCGTGGTGTCAGTCGGGGGATGAGTGGCTGTTGAGCCGGGTCGCTCGTGGAAGTATCTTCGTGCTGGTATAGGTCCTCTTCTGTTTTTCGCTTTTTCTGTGGTGGATGACTGGAATGCAGGAGAAGCTTTCTCGGCTGATTGAAAAAATAAGTCGTTTTCCAAAGTTTCTGGTCGGGCTGGAATGAGATATATTCTGTACTTTCTCTGGTAAATGTCGGATAGAACCACTTCTGAAGGCTGTAGCATGATGAGACTCGCCCTAGACAAGATTTTCTTCGGAAAAAATATTCTTTGGATATTGTGGAATCGAATTCATAGCGCGGGTTGCTGCGAACAAATTTTGTTGTGAAAAAAAAGAATCCTGGCAATAGTTTCTTCCTCTCGACACTTCCAAATAGAATGTTTCCTAAGTAAATACTTTTCTATTGAAAAAAAAAAGCCTTGAAGAATATGTATGACATCCAGTCGAGATTGAGAGCCTCGAAGGTATTCCAGATCATTGCACAACGATAAGAGAACTCCATGACAGCAAGCGAGACGCAAATACAAATCTCCCTTTCGTCCACAGAAGCCACACAGGAAAGAGACATGAGTCACGCCGCCGATGCCACCGCTCGCACCGCCGAGGATTTTGAGAGCATCGACCTCGATGAGGTCTTCGAGGACCTTCGCGACGCAGGCATCTTCACTCGCCGAGAATTCCTCGACGTCGCGAAAGGGACGCCGAGCGAGAAAAATTTGTTTCTGCTGGAACGGTTTCCTCGCAAGGGAGATGATGCGTTCCCGACTCTCCTCGAGATTCTTCGCAAACGAGGCTATCAACAGCTTGCCAGCAAACTGAGTCGAGGTGAGTCGTACGAATCTCACCCGGTTTTCCAACGACTCCACTATTTGATCGATTTAAACGAGCGGTCGAAGCGGTTGCGACTTCTTTCCGTTTCTCGTGAAGGGCATAAAAGGCTTGCTGCATGGGGAAAACTCTATTTTCGACACGTTCTTCCTTCGTAGTCTGACATTTATCCAGAATTTTAAATTCTATTCCTTCGAGAACTCCGTTTCGCTACGCTGCCTCGAGATATCGGTCTCTCTGTTCGTTCGAACGGGAAAGTTTACGTCGACGTGCGATCTATCGCGACCCGAAGTGGTTAACAGACCACTCGATCCAAATGAGCTTAGAAATGATTTGGAGGATCGACCCGAGGTATCACCCTGTTACGCGAGTTCCCCGTTTTTCGGCCGGAACTCGGTCCCATCGGACGAATCGTTTCGCTTTAAGCGAGCGACGACGCGATCCGGAGAATCGGAATCGGATTCTCGTCGTCGGAATCTTCGATGGTGTCGAGAGAGATGGCGGAAGTTTCTCGTTTTCTCTCTCCGTCTCGTCGAGTTTCTTCGCGGGTCGTTTCTCCAAGGTTTCCGCTACCTCTGGCGTCGATGGGAAGCAACGAAGCTCGAACCAGAATCGCACCGACAGGAACTCCAGGATTTAGGAACGAGGATTTCTCACGCTAAAAGAAAAACCGCTGCGAGAGAGAAAGGAACTGGCTGGGCTCGGGTCGACTCGGATCGACTCGGGTCGACTCGGGTCGACTCTGCGAAGAGGTCGCGTCCGCCTGGCCAGGGCCCTTGCCTTCTTAAAGGCCACGAAGGAACGAAATAGTATAAAGGTTTCTCTTCGATCGTGCTCCGACTACGAATGGAATCCAGCCGAATGAGGCAGAGTGGATACGATTCTGTTTCTCGGTTCCATATGGAAGTGCCCGAGGCAGAGTGGAAATCGAGAATGGTCGAGGGGAGGTGCGACAACCCGTGCGTATTTCTATCGTACTGAAATCCTTAGGAAACCTCATCCCCTCTTGACCCTTTCTCATCACAGCAGCCCCCCCCCCCTCCCCCCTCCTCCCCCCGACTTCGCAGCTGGAAGAGTGTGGTGTTGGGGGGGGAGAGTTGGAGTGCCACATCAGTCGCCTGCTTAGGGTATAAAACTGGTTTAGGCGCATGTCCTGACGGTGTCTGCCCGAATGCATGGTTCTTCCTAAAATCACTCATCTGTGGGCTCGGCCAGAAAGAGGAGGAATACAAATCGGGTATTCCTCCTCTTCCTCCCGAGCTCACACCGATGGAAGAAGGTGCGAGTCGGACTCCGGTCGTAAAATTTCGGTCCGACTCGTCTCTACCGCACGAGGTACCATCGGAGAGGCAATACGAATGAGAACTCTCGACGAGAGCGAAGAACCCGGATCTCCGGGACGCCGAACTCGCGGCGATACGAGAACGCGAGTACCCCCGAGATCGAAAATAGAAAAAAAAAAGCGAGTGGAGTGGCCACGAAGCATGCGACGAGAGAAGAGAGCCTCTTCCAACGGTTCCCCCTCCGTCCTCGTACGTGACGCGTATTTCCTCCTCTCTGCGATGCAGCGATTCCAATCGCACGAAGAGGAATCCATTTTTTTTTAATTTCTCGCAGAAATCCTGCTAGTCTTACTTCGAAGGAGACCCCGCGAGACGACGACCCATCAACCAGCGATCGAAACCTTTCAGTCGGAATCGATTCCGATCGGCACTCATCGCCGATCCCCATGCATCATGCATTCTAGAAAGCAACGAAAAGTTTTAAAGAAAAAAACTCTGTGCTTTGAAACGTGCGAGACGACGCGGATCCAGTAAAAGAATGAGAGAAATGAAACTTTGATGCGACCCTTTCTTCGTAAGGCCACAACTTATGTTAAAGTGGAGAGAGAGATTGCTCTGCTCGAATCTGGATTTCAAAAATCATGAATAAATTAATAAATGGTGAGTTGATTGCTTTGTTTTTTTGTTTTTTTTTTGGTTTTTTTTTTTACCTTGTAAAGGTCTGTCGATTTTTCAAAAAAAATGCGAAACAAAGATGAGAAAACTGGAAAAAAAAATCGTGTTTTTTTTCTCTGCAGGTGATGATGCGCTGCAGCATCTGGAACCATCAAGCAAGTGAGATTCGCATTTTTTTGCCGATTATTTCAAGAAGAGAGGAAATCCCAAAGCTCGTAAATCCCATTTTTTCGGCTTTCAACTGTTTCTACTTTTGACAGAATTTAACACCTCGTGTCAAACATCTCGTCGCATTAGTTCCACGAGGTTCCAACCGTAAACCCGAGAAGAAATTAGTTTGAATGCAGCACCATGCCGAGGTGATTTGAGAGCGTTACGAAAGAGCGTTACGAGAGAACGTTACAACACGTGACATCGAGGAGCCTCTCATTTTTCACGAATGCAATCAAAATTCACTCGATTTTAATTTGTTGAAAAAAAAAATGAGGCAGAACCTCGTCACGATTTGCCTCTAGGACCCCACGCCGTCTCGGTCGGATTCCACAACCGGAAATCTGGAGACGGCTCAAAGATCTGCTCGGAGATGCTGGAATTCCCGAGACGCGATCGCTGCCGGAAAACGTTCCGATGCTCCAGGATCTCGAGGATGGCCTTCGGAATCGGTCCCGGGACGACGAAGAGCGATACCTGCAGATGCTCATGACTCTGCTTCGACTCTCGCTCGAAGACGTTGCAGAGGAGCTGAAGCAAGCAACGGGTCAGAATTGCACACGACGCTTCATTTTCCTCTTTCGCTTTTTTTTTTCGTTTACCATTTCTTTCCACGGAGTGAGCAGTCGAGTGCCCCGAGGCAGAGGCAGGAAAAATCGACGGCACGCTCCGACACAAATTCCCAGAGTTCGTGGCCGGCCCGTCGCGTGCCGATGGGACGACGGGTGGAGAACGCAAATGCCGTTAAATCGGGCAACTTCGATACTTACGATGGCGATCGGGTCCTCGTTTTCCCCCTCGCCTTTCCCGACTTTTCGATGCCGTTTTAAAAAACTTGCAAAAACATTTAAGAGATTTAAAAGAAATGTGTGAAAGAAAAAGGAATTGCCTCAAATGACTCCTCGGCAGCGGACTCCAGGTGGGATACCGATGCGGTCCGACCACCTTGCACGAGGCTTACCGACCGGTCCGATACGATGGGCGTGGGATGTTTCGATCGGCCAAGAGACCTGGAGGTTCTCGCGGATGGCGGCATCCTGCATCCTCACGCCGACGCGTGAACGCGGCCGCCCGCCGTGAGAACCTCGTTTCGGGACCTCGTACGTCCGACCTCGACCTTTCCGGTCGTTTCCTACGGTTCGCGACCGTAGGTAAAACATGTTAAAAACCGAACGTTTCGCTTCCTTAGAAATGTCAGACTCGACGGCCACGGTCCTCCAGAGTCCCCACGAAACTGCAGAAGCCCTCGAAATGCGGCCGTCGATCTCGTTTCCGAATCGCCGAGAATCCGAATTCGTTCTCGAACCGGACCCCGAGAAACTTCTCCATCCGTTCCAGTCGGGTCCCCATGACGCGTTAGGCGAATCGTACGGGAATCATCGAGAGAGCCGTGACCTTAATTTTGGGGGACGCTCGATCTCGTTCCGAGTCGAACCGGTCGAGCAGGCTCTGAAATTCCCCATTTGCTGCACGTTCTTTCCGTTGCGTGAGTTACGTCAAAGCCAATTATGGTTCAACGTTTCTCTTTGCTTGAGGACAAGTAAGGATTTTCGTACCATACACAAGGAAAACTGCTACCAGAGAAAGTGAAAAAATTGCGGTCCGAATTTTAATTTATTCCTTTATATTCTCATTAATGAAGTCTGATCGGCATGTCTGGATACAACTATATTTTGGAGGCCTGAGCCCATACTACATCATATCATCCATGACCCCTCGAGGCTTGACGGATCCTATCCATGCCCACGAGAAACAGGAGAGAGATCGCGACACCGACGGAGTTCCGTTCGTACCCGGAACTAGTCCTTCGCTCGTCTCGCTCACTCGAAAAAGACAGAAATCTCTCTTATCTTATTTTCTTCGTCCCTCCTTCAAAATGTGGATCACACGGAACGAGATAGTGCACGTAAGATACACGATGCTCCACGCAAATGAGAACGTCGCTCGCGCGGAGCTGCTGGGTGTGGGACTCCATATACTAATATCGTGCACCTCGCAATTCTCATTTTCTCGATCGTAGCGTACCACTCTGGCACCATGAAGACTTTCGATCCCATAACGCGATCTGGCTCAGAAATGCAAAAAGCCTGAAATGGCAATTTTTGTGTACTCGACCCCCCTAACAGGCCACCCGAATCCAGTCGGAAGCATCCCGCAAGCCACGGCGAGACGAGAGACGACCGAGCAGCCGAAAACGATCGGGGAACGAGAGGAGGGAGGCGAGGATGCTCGCGACTGCCCGCAACTGCGAGTGAGTTGAGTTTCGGAGAGATGAGGATGAGAATGCTTTTATATTTTTTTTGTTGTTGTTGCCTTTTCTCGCAAGAAGGCTGCGACGAATTCGAAGCTCGTCGAGATATCACCGGGGAAGAGATCACCCAAACATCCAGATGGATTAGATGTTAGGCTCGTCTCGATTCGACATAATTACGACTGGACCTTGCGTACAGGACAATAAATGCATCCAATTTGCACGTTACACGTGTTCCTTGTAATTTGGATAGGAAACTACAGAACCAAAATTTTAACTCTGTCTCTGTCTCTGTCGAAGGGTCTGTCGTGCAGGTTGGACTTCTTGCGTTCGAGAGATTCAGTTACGATATTCATTGCCGTAGAGCATGCTGCAGGTATTCAGCTTTGTCCGAAGGAAATTCGGTTGGCTCTGGCAACGATTCTTTCATTTTCTAAGATGAAAAACCAAGGCATCCCTTCAAAAACTGTACACATCGTCGTGTCCTCGACAGCCATTTACCCACACAGCACAGGTATATCCCAAA